AGCCCAGCAGCGGCAGGTGGGGAACCTTGGCTTCCTCCTTCACTGGAGCAAGCAAGCCTCCTGTTTGCTTCAGCTGCCTGGCTGCCAATCGCCTTCTTGGTTGGCAGTTAATTTGCATATCTTGCTGATTAGCCATTGGGAAGGGTAGCGAAGTTATGGTTAATTACCATGTTTCTCTATTATTAGATAAGGGTAGATATTGACAAATTAGAGGTCCTACATAAGCCAGCACCAAGTTAGCATTTTGTATGCAGCATCTTATTATAATTCTCACAACACCTGTAAGTACTGTTATTATCTCCACTTTGAAGATGAGGAAATTGAGAGGCAAAGGTTGAAGTAATTTGTCCAAAGTTACACAAGTACTAAGTGGCAGAGCCAGGGCCTAATCTTTTTGAATATTATCAATGTTATTTTTTTTAATAGATAATCCTATGGCACAGTTTAATTTTGCTGTTCTTGCTAAGTAATTGGAATTCTCAACTTTTGTTAGTTATCATGTAATGTTACCTTTTGTCTGTGAGCCAGACTGTTCTCTCAGAGTGAGTGCTAGAACTTTAGTATCTAATGACAATAGAACTGGAAACAACTCTCCTTTTCCTGATTCTCTCTTGACCCAGTATTTCTTAGGCAGCATTGTCCTACCTCTTTTTGCTCTTTGTCTTAAACTCTTGCAGGAATAGTGATGGCTCCTATCTCCACCTCTTTATTTCTCAGATGCTCCCCATTTTACAGCAGTTTGCCTTACATCTCATGAAATGAGATTTTGTTAAGATCATCAATTACTGATAGATCACCAAATCCAATAGCTATTTGTTAATGATCATCTCTTGGGCCTATGTTTTACATTTGAATCTGATAAAAATTTCTTCCTTAAAACTCTCTTGGCTCCCATGACATAATTTTCCTCATATTCCTCTTTTTCTTTCTCCTTTCAGGTTTTTATTTTCTTTTTTTCCTCCCTTCCTCCCATCCCTCCTTCCCTCCCTCCCTTCTCCCTTCCTTCTTTCCTCTAACTTACTCCTTAAATGTTAGTGTTCTATTGGTTCCACCTTGGGCTACCATTATGCTAATTGTACATTCTCTATCTGCATGATCTTATTCAGACACTTATTATTTTAATTTTAACCTAAATCTTGATGTATCCCAAATTTGGTTTTCTTGGTATATTTTTCTAAGAGATCAAAACATGCAGTAGTTTGCTGAGTATTTCTACCTAGATGTCTCAAAGTGTGTGAAATTAAAGAGATCCCCAACAGAAATCATCACCATCTCCTTTAAGCCACTTTCTTTCCTGGTTCTCCTCCTCCAGTGTTTGGGAGCTCTTGATTTTGTCCTCTGCCTTCAGTTAATTACCAAGTCTGCTCCTTTTGCTTCTTAAATATTTGACACATATGATCTTCCTCTGCATTTCTTCAAATCCTTATTGTCATTCATATCCCATTTATCCTGCACTTTACTGTGTCACCTGTTTTTCTTTGCTATAGCTTCATGGCCTTTAAATCGTTCACCTATGATGGGTGTTCCCTTAGTGCTTATTATTTTGAGTATTTAAAAACTCAGATTGTACTTCCTACTTGGCTCCCACTTCTTGGCATACTAAAATATTATTATTATTATTATTATTATCACTATTATTATTATTGCTTGTGGGATTCAGGAGCACAGTACAGTCTTCCTAGCATTTTTTCTGAGCAAAGGTCTCCATACTTTTAGGATGGATATTTCTAGAAAATGTTTCCCTGTGTATTTCTCCATCCCTATCATGA